GGAAAACCTTCCCACACTTTTGCAATGTTCAAAACTCTTAAACCTACAGCATTTTAACAACATATGTATATAACTTTACTCACCAGCTGGCAGAACAGCAGTGACTCGGTTCCGCTCTGACTTGGTTCCGTTTTGGCAGACCTACCCTGCCAGTTCTGGTTGGCTCTCTGGCTCAGGGTAGTGGCAGTGGGCTCCAGAGAGAACACCAGACCTACGGCTGCGTGTCCCTGAACGGAAGTCCTCGTGCGCCAGCTACGAGCTCTCGGGTTCCCTGATGGGTCTGGAGGTCCAGTTCTGCTCTGGTTCTGTGCAGCCCTTGAGTGCCAAAGCACTTTTTTGGGGAGGGGACAGACCTTCGGATGGGCAGCATGGAACTAAAGCAAGTCCAAATGTGCATAACGAAAGTACCGGTGTTCTCCAGAGAGAACGCCAGACCTATGGCTGTGCGTCCCTGCTTGGAAATCCTCGTTGGCCAGCTTCCAGCTCTCAGGCTCACCTATGTGATTAGGAGTCTGGTTCTGCTTCAGTTCTGGTCTGGTTCTGTGTGGCTCTCTGAATCCACTGGGTGCCAAAGTCACTGTAAATGACCGAACTTTCTCAGATGAAATTAAAACTTTCCCTCTACTTATTTCAGCAAAAGGCAACGAGGCTTCTGGGCAGAGCACTGTTGGCTTCTGGGAAATGTAGCTCTTATGAGCAGCAATACAGTGTAGGCTTACTAAGAGAAAACTACAAAATGGTGACACCTGTCCAAAATATTTAATTTTTTTTGTTAACTTTTTACTGTACAGTATCTCGTACTGTCCCAATCACGAGTAATAATAAAGCTGACAATCATGTTGTGTCCAGTACAATTTTGTTTCCCTCATGTTCACTCTTTGAAAAACCATGAAAGAGTGAGTCCACAAAAGTTGAACCACAAAGTAATGAGTAAATCTCCTCTTCACACAGGTCTAAGTGAAACCAATCTAGGCTATGGAAAGCTGTTTGTGTGTGACTGGGAGGGCAAGTGCAGCAGAAAACCTCAGTTTTTAAAAACGTCCATTGTAGTGTGGATGGGGTGCAGAATTTTCATCACCATTTCTCAAAGAGTGTTTCGCAACAAATATTTCATTTTGACCATTAATTGCAGTGGACCACAGTCAATTTGGCATTCAGTGCATATAATCAGACTTTTATGTTGTTGTTTTTTCCTTCTTGCTCTCAGCGGAGGCGGACGCTTTTCCCTCCTGCTCCTTCCCTGCTCTGCTGATGTAGAGAGGAGAGGGATGCACTCGCCACTCTTAGCAAGGACAAAAACATCATCATTCTCCCAGCAGACAAAGGAAGGTGCACAGTGATTTTGAACCAGAAAGACTATCATGAGAAAGTTATGACACTCCTTAGTGACTTAACCACTTATGAACCTCTGAAGAGAGATCCAGGAAGCAATTACAAGAAGACGTTGATAGATTGCCTGAAAAATTTGGAGCAGGACAAGGCTATTGACCGTTTTCTGTACCACACACTGTACCCAGGGGAGGCCACACCTAGTCTGTATGGTTTACCTAAAATACACAAACAAGGTGTACCTTTAAGACCAATCGTTAGCATGATTAACTCAGTCACTTACAATGTTTCCAAATATCTGGCGTCTGTACTCATCCCTTTAGTTGGCAGCTCAGAACACCACATACAGAACACCATGGACTTTGTGGATAAGGTGAGGGATGTCATCATGGAGACTGATGAAACAATGGTCTCTTTTGATGTCACATCACTCTTTACGTGCATTCCTGTTGATGATGCAATAGAGGTGGTCAGTTTAAGATTACAATCAGACACCACTTTGTTTTGTTTTTTGTTTATTTTGAATGTCCAGAGGACCAGATTGAACTTTTTTGGATCTTCTGAATTGTAAATTATGGATCTGGTCAGCTGGTCTCTCAACACAATTTATCAAATTTTCTCAGCGTGAAGACAGGGTGAATGAGAGCCCTCCTGCCCCAGTGGGACACTGGCAGCCAGATGGAGTATTGGGGGAAGTGGAAGAGTGTCTGTCTTTCCATCTTGTCAGTTGAGGACGCTGAAGATGTTTACATAATTGGATTTATTATAACAGGATTTCTGCTTTTTGGAATTGGTGGTTACCTGGCATAGAGAGACATTTGGAAAACGTCAGCATCTGTTCTGGCAATTGTAAGGCTGCACAGCATGTGTGAAGGAATGTGCATTGCTGTCAACACTCAGATTGGAACGTTGTGTGAGCTGAGCCGTAAACTGGACACAGTTCTTGCTGAGAAGAATTGCAGGCTTGCGGCTCCTGAATCTTGCTGATGGGAAGGAATAGATCTCAGCGAAGTTGTAAGACCTCAACTCGGCGTATGTGACCACAATTTGGCTGTTTGGAGTCGCCATTGAGACGTACTAGCGAGACTATAAAAGGGAGATGGAAATTAATAGAGCTTGGCCTGACCCAAAACAAATGTTGCTATCTGAATCTGGCTTTCCCGGCATCAGCCTTGGAAGGATGAATATCTCAAATTTTCCTGGATGTTATGTGAACAAGATGCTCTGCTCCCCCCTCCCCTACCCACTTCCTTCCCCAAAGACATGGACCTGATTCAGAGCTCTACTGAGTCGGCTGACAAACACTGCACCATCTCTTATCAGGACTGGGGCGGGGGGGGGGGGGGGGGGTATCTGGACAGTGCTCATGGACTACTTCCCCTCAAATTCACCACCCTCGCTGGACTCCCTTATTCAAACACCCCCACCACCCCCCACCCCCCACCCCAAGTGCAGCAACCTAGGTAGATGCGAAAGCACTAGTGGCTGTACTACTCACTTGGGTGTCCTGTGCTGCGACCCCCACCCTCACCCACTCCACATGCATATGTCTTTATGTCATCAGTATGTTACTTTTTTGTGCTGGGGATTTTTGCTGCCTCATGCTGTGTCCTGTTAGGAACAGTGTATGATTTATTTATACTTCCTCTTCCCTCTTCCTCTTCCCCAGCTCCAACAAGCCAGCTTTTCTTCTCCAAGAAAACTTCTGCCAGAAATTTCAAACTTCTAATGTTCTGAGCAATATCATCTGCAGGCGATATGTGACCAAAACAAATTACAATGAGAAATTTTTCAATATTGAATTTTTTTTTAAACGCATACTTGTTAGAAACCTTTGATTTAATGGTAGATTAGGAAGATCGTGACACTCCACAGAACATATAAAAATCCAAACTATTCCTTTGATAGACATGTTTGGAAGTTTCCTTTGTGATTACCTGTCTGAATGAGTCTGAGCTGATGACATCTCTGTCACCGCCAATGTTTTTTAACACTCATCCAATCACACACAAGCCTGCAGCTTTGCACCATTCTGTCTCCCTAACTCTTTCACGTCTGTACCCAGAAGGCTGTTCTTATATTCAGTCACACTGCATTGTAAATTAATCCTCAGCTGTCTGACCTAGAATATTCTTCTGGCTGTGCCAGTGTCCGCATGGCTTTTTTACCTCTGTCATTGAATTTATTATTGACCATCATTAGCCCAGACTGACGTCTCAAGAGCCGGAGAAACAGGAAACACTTTTAAACATCAATCAGCTGCAACTGAGCTACACTTGAGACAAGTCGCATCGCAAGTGAATGTTTTTCTTGCAGATTTTTGAGATCTGAGGTGACATAAATATGTATTGCACTTTTACTTTGTATTTAAATGAATAACTCCTCAACGGTTGCACTTCATTTAAAAATATCTATAGCTGGTTGTGGTTTGTCTCAGTTGAAATAAACTGCAGCTTAAACCTGGGAATGTGAACACTGTTTAAGGTTCGTTTGGTAGATTGAAAACAATTCATGGCCAGAACATAGATGGAATGATGCAAATATCCATTAGAGAGAGCTGAGTAATTTTAAGTCTTTTTTTTTTTTAATACAAGAAAAACAGGCAAAAATTTTGGATTTAGGACTTATGGGTCATTTTGACCCAAGGGCAGCAGGAGGGTAGAATTACCAAACTGTTTTATTTAATCTGTGCATCAAAAAAAGGGCAACACAGTTTTAGTTCAACTATGAATGTTTTAACGTATATTCTTTGTAAAAAAGAAATTGGCAGCTCACTTACTTTTTCTTTTTAACTCAGCTTTAAAAATCTGTCATTGTGTATTAAACAGTGGTTCCTTTTTTTCTTTTGTTGTTATTTATTTATTTGCATTTTTGTACTTCTGCTTTGAGAATGTCAAAAAGAGTTGGATGAAAGAAAATCAAAACATGCAGTAAAGACTCAAAGGATTTTTCGTAAAAGCCTTGTTGCGTCTTCGAAAAAACAAACCATGATGCCACTTACAAGGTTCAAGGTTCTTTATTGTCATTCTCATCATACAGTATATGGAACTTGAGGTGGAACTAAATTGTGTAGACAAGGTAGGCCTTTGGCGATAAAAAATAAATCAATTAATCACATGATGAATGAAAATGATCTACCTCAATTTAATTTACCAGCTTTATCGTTTCTTCGTGTCTCTCTCTTTCTACTGAAGACATGGCTCAACTTCGGTGACTTCACTGCTGTGGCTGAGTGGTTAGAGCAGTCGTCCTCCAATGTGAGAGTTGGGGGTTCGAATCCACCAGCAGTCACATGTCGAAGTGTTCCTGAGTAAGACACTGAACCCTTTGTTGCCTCTGATGTGTGTCCCATCAGTGTATGAATGTGGTCTAAAGCGCTGATTAGTCTCATTAGAATAATTTGTTCAATTAACTTTGTAGAGATCTAGTAGAGTGCTGTATGAATGGGTAAATGAGGATACAGATTGTAGTGTAAAGCGCTTTGAGTATCTTGAAATAAGATAGAAAGGCGCTATATAAATACAGTCCATTTACCATTCACTGACCCTCCCTTACTCTTTTCTCTTTAAAATCTGTTTTAACCATCCAAAATGGTGTTTTTGGATCAGCTAAGCTGAGAAGCTAAGCTACGAGCTAAGCTAAAAGCTGATCTCGGGAATAAACCTTTGTCTTGTTAAGATCCAAAATTCACGGTTGAAACCCATGCCTTCATGTAAAAAGTTGTTTTTCTCTGCAAAAGAAGCTGAGAACTTGTTTACTGATTTTTTTTTTTAATTAAAAGCTTTGTGTGAAAAATGCTATGCTAAAGAGCTCAAATCACGGAGCTTTCATCATGTCAGCTCATGTCACGTCAAGGACCCTCACTCCCATTTTTCTTAAAGAGACACGCTGCTCAACTACCCATCCTTTGGTGCAAACAGTCTTATACTGCCATCAGGTGGTCAAAAATGGCACTACACCCCAAACAAATCACTTCTAAAATTTGACGTATAATTATTGTTACAGTTCAAACAATATTATCATTTATCTCAGTAATTTCTGAGACAATTATTTGCCCAGCAAAATTTGTTATCGTGACAGGCCTAACACAGGGTCCCGCAGTTACATCCAACAATAGCAAAAGTATCAATTGTAAAACTAAACAGTAATAACAAAGTTCGTGCTCAATAATCCAGGTACTTTGTATAAAATCCAACATTTTTCAGTCAGGTCATCTGGACAGTTTCTTTTTTTGTGCTGAAACGTTTCGCCTTCGATCCGGAAGACTTCATCAGTCAAGGAAACACACAACAAAACTGATTCTTCCCCCAACAGCTTACTCCAAAGTGGAACAAACCAGTTCTGCTTGTGATAAGATGGTCTCTTTGGTACGCCCCTCCTCCATTGCCGGCCCTCTTCCTTGTTGACAGTAAACAGTAATTAGATCTAAGATATGAATTAAGAAATATGCTAAACTAAGAAATACGCTAAACACTAATAGTGCAAAACAATATGCCGAACAACAGCAGCACGAACATGAGTCTGTGTGGGTAGATGAGTACGAATGAATACAACAGCATGAAATAATTTCCCTAACAATTACCCTACTATGCCTCCATTTCCATTTCATGAGCATGACACATACAAAGAGTGGATGGCTGTACAGGCATGCAGCGTCTTCGAGTGGAGTACTGTAGGAGTTGTGGTTTTGTCCCTGATGTCGTGTTTATGTCTGTGTTTCCCCTGATCCTCTGTTTCTCTTTCATGACCCGTCTGTATTGTGAGTACCCCCTGTTCATTCTGTTTTGTTTTGCTTTCATGGCAGCTCTTTAATTCTGTTAATAAATTCTTATTTTACATATTTCTGAGTCCTCACCTGCTTGCCTGCACCACTGGGTTCACCAGCATCAGCCAATTTTGACAAGTAAAATATTTTGTCCATGATCCAAAACTTAAGGTTTGGAAAGACATAAAACTTAAAAGTTATCTACAACAGAGCAAATTAAAAGGTATAAAAAAAGATATACTGTATAGAAATCAGTGGTAAATCCAGCAACATCAGGGGCCACATGAAACAAACACAAACAACAGAATGCCCTTGCTTTGTGGGGGTTTGCAATACCAAACATGAGGGCCAAAACAAATTATTTCTTGAAAACATCACCTTGATTAATAAACAGATTGTGACTAGATTTAGACTTATAAAAAAACACATGATTACATAAGATCGAATTAACTTGTTGAAAATATTCCAAAACCTCACAGAAAGCATGAGCAGAGCATATTTCACAGGTTTCACAAATAGAAATGTGGGATTTTTACATGTGAGGTGAATGTGTTTTTTGTGGTTTTTTAAACAACACTGTATAATCTAACTTTAAGTTTCTTTTTATACATTTTACTATTAAAAAAAAAAAACATTGAGCTTGCCCATTTCTTCCACATCGATGTTTGCACTCCTCAAGCTCAGGTTAGCAACATTTCTTATTCTTTTCCACAATATTAACATGATAGCTCAGCATATCTTAAATAGACCATTGTAAACACTGGATAAAAAATGTATTTTACATCAGCACATAGTAACTTCTATAAACATTTTATTAACATACATTTAGCAAGACGTTATTCACATAGACTTTTATGGTGTTTTGAAAGCACAAACTGCTAGTAGCGATTAGCTGTAGCATGTTCGGTACATCTTTTGTGGAATTTCTTATTCTTTTTGCCAGAAAAAACATGTGATACAAGTCATAGCAACAGTAAAATGAATTATCACTTTGTGTTTGGATGGAATTGAAGTTGTTTTAAGTCAGCAGAAACCCTTTTTAATTATTACCCTGCTTGGACTGTCAGCTTGTTACACTAGTGAGAATTAAACTATCCATGTTGTGCAGATGGTTTCAACAGGTGATATGTTCATTTTTCATGATGTTTTCATTTTCCACCTCTGATAAATCCTGGTCACAATTTATCAAACTGTTAAAATGGTTTTTACAAACTGCTACCAAACATAGAATACCTTTTTATATATTTTTTATTATTATTATATTTTACTAAAGTTGTTTTGTCTGCTGTGAACAGTCCCATAA